TGTCCATCCTGGGCCTCCTGCAGTGCCACAACGATGCCACCCGAAGGTTGCAGGAACAGCAACTCATATTCCGCTTGGGAACCCTGCAGCCCAATGGTATCAATGTGGATTTCACAAGTTTCAAAATCTCCCCTCCCCCTACCGCATCCCAAAACCAGTCCAGCTCGTCCCTGCCTCCCTAACCTGTTCTTCCTCCCACCTATCCCCTCCTCCCACCTCAAGCCGCACCTCCATCTCCTACCGACCAACCTCATCCCGCCCCCTTGACCTGTCCGTCCTCCCTGGACTGACCTATCCCCTTCCTAACTCCCCACCTACACTCACCTTTCCTGGCTCCATCCCCGCCTCTTCGACCTGTTTGTTTCCTCTCCACCTATCCTCTCCTCTATCCCTCTTCTGTCCGCCTCCCACTCTCTCCCTATTTATTTCAAAACCCCCTTCCCCTCCCCCTTTTCTGATGAAGGGTCTAGGCCCAAAACGTCAGCCTCTCTGCTCCTATGATGCTGCTTGGCCTGCTGTGTTCATCCAGCCCTGCACCTTGTTGTCTCAGATTCTCCAGCATCTGCAGTTCCTACTATCTCTGATTCAATTTTGTTCCTCTTTACCTGTTTAATTCTGTATCAAAATATTTTGACAAAATAATTAAATGAAATTCAAGAGATTGATTGTATCATCCTTTGAAGTTCCAATCTGAAAAGGAAGTCAAATTCAACATGAACTAATTTGTTTAAAGTTTTTGAGAAGATTTGTTGCTCGGGTTGTGGATGAGGTTGTAGACTTGCTCGCCAAGCCGGTGTGTTTAATTGCGGACGTTTCGTCACCCTGCAAGGTAACATCGTCAGTGCGCCTCCGGTGAAGCGTTGGTGTTCTGTCCCATTTGTTATTTATATGCCTCGGTTTGCTGGGGTGTTTGGCGTTACTTCCAGTTTTGTTCTTCAGTGGAAAAACCGGAAGTAATACCAACTACTCCAGCAAAATGAGCCATATAGATAACAAGTGGGACAGAACACTGGCGCTTCACCGGAGGCACACTGACGATGTTACTTAGCAGGGCGACAAAACGTCTGCAATCAGACGGCTCACCGAACTAATCTGTTGCTGTTACCTTAATGAAAGAGAATTTACGTCCATTTTGTACGTCTCCTGGGCTCTGTGACTGTATCTCAATTTTGATGTACACTGTGTGCGGGTCACTTGTTATAGCAACCTAGGGAGACAAGAGAGCATTACATCATACCATCTGAGTCTTAACAGTATGATGAACATTTTTGTTAATTCAAACAAACAGGGAAATATTGAAAACTGTATGAAGATTTCTGGGACATTTCATGCTAAAAAGTAAAACACTCACTAAACACGATTGTTTGATTTTTCTCAGGGTGCTAGGAAATCTCTTATGACACTGCCCACTATCAAATGAATGACAACGTCTATTGTGCATTAAGTGGCTTGGCTTTTGTTACTTTGGGTGGAATTAATTACCTGCTCCCCTGGCAGGTTTGGTGGAGGACAGGAACTTAACCAGGCAGGAGGGTGTCAGCTTGAGAATCCACTGGCTTTCCACCTCCAGCCACTTAAATATGTGGCAGGAAGGTTCACGGACAAGCCTCCCCATCCTGCTGCCAATTGAGGCCCTGAAGTGGGCAACTTGGAAAACCTAAAATGCAAACCACGTTTGGCTGTTTGCAGGATTGTTTTGTTGGGGGCATTGCCACATTCAAAAACACTCGGCACCTGATTCAGAGATCTGCTTTCAGGAAGGGCTGGGGTGGGAACCACTTCCTGCTGTTGCTGCTGACTCCTCTCCTGTCCTCTCCATTCGTCATCATTCACTCGTATCCCTTGGTGGGTTTATTGTGATCACTATTGCCCGTCAGCTCTTGTGGGGAAGAGATTTCCATTTCCAAGCTCTTTGATCCTAAAGCCCAACACCACCAAATTAACTCAGTCAGTCCCCTAAAGATGGCAACTGAAGTGAGACATTATCTCCTCCATTGGGAGGATGTGGCTTGCACAGCTATGGAAGAAAGTGTATAGAAAGCAGCTGGGAGGAAGTGGAACTGAGGTATCTGAGAGAATTAGAGGCTTATAGTGAACATTAGTTGACAATATATCCCAAATAAAGACCTAATGGAGATAGTTGACAAAGTGAAAGGACAATCATGTAAGGGTCAGGGAGGGGCGAAGCTAAAAAAAAAAAAAAAAAACAGTAGAGTCACTGATGTACTGGACAGTGAGTGAGAGAGGGGTATTTGGTAGAATTGGAATTAAGCATGCCCCAGGTATGAAGATTTCAGATGGATGTGAGGAAAGGGGTGATTTAGGGATGCGGGTTCTGAGAGAAACACCTAAGAAAGACAATTGTTAATATTTTAAATGTTAAACCTGCATGGAAAGAGCCTTGAGAGTTTAATTCCAATTGCTTTGAAGTCTGTTGCAAAGAACAAAGTTTATAAATCTTCTCAGGATGGAAGAACATATTCCTCACTAAAATCAGAAATGTGTTATTCATGCATATCAAGGGGATGATTTGACTGAAATGAGCAAGGTCCTGAATGGTCTTGACAAAGTGGACATGGAAATGACATTTCCTCTTGTGGGTGAGTCCAGAATGAGAGGGCACTACTTTGAGAGAGAGAGGTTGAAGGAAGTAGCATCATTGAATATTTTTAAGGCAGAGGTAGCTAGATTCTTCTTAGGGAGAAGAATCAAAGTTTATCAGGAATAGATGGAAATATGGAATTCAAAACACAGACAGATCAATCATGACTTTGTTGAATGGCAGAACAAGGGGCTGAATGGTCTACTTCTGTTCCCATTTCATGTGTATGCCAGGAAAAGCCTCAAATTGCATGTACTTACCACACAAATATGAACTATGAACTCTTTCAAAATCTGTTCTCAAGTCTGTAAGTATGGGTTATTCAGCTAGGCTGAGATCCTACAGTGGAAATGTTAAGGATTTGATGGGTAAATTCAAACACATTGATAGTGTATTTTTCTTAATTTCTTAGTTGAACAAACTGAGCTTCACATCTAGCTGATGTATGTTAGTGGCCTGATGTCCTATTGTGTGAACTAGTGTGCTGTGATGGTCATAGATCTAAGAATAGCCACTTAAACACTCTGGCACTGCAGGTAAAGCAAAGGAAAAAGACTCTCTCTCACTCAAATGCCAATGAGCCACTGCGAAAAGGACTCAGGACAGAAGAGTTTTAATCAACCTACAAATACTGCTAATGCTAACGACAGAACACACTGCAAAGGGAGCTTAATGGTCCAGGGTATTCTGTCTGGAGTGTAACAAATTGGTGAATATCGCCCGGGGACTGTTCATAACAACAGGAATACAAATAGATTTAAAAAATAGAGTTAGTTTAATATATTTAGAACAATTGGTTCTATTTTTTCTGACCAACAGATTAAAACATGTACAACTGGTGTCACAATGTTTTATCATTATCAAGTTCCACATTTACCAGACCCTTCATGATCAAAAACTAGTAAGTTAACCATATTCTCATCATGTTAAAGTACAATTACAATGACATAATGTTGCAATTATTCAAATATGGCTATCAGTCAAAGCAAGAATATAAAGTTCAAGCCTCAGGCTGTGCTTCATAACAAGAAACTTTTAACATGTGATTTAATACAATTAAACTACATTTGCAGAAAGGTCATTATGCTCCTGTTAGGCCATATCTTGAATTTTAAAAATAGCATACAGTTGTTGCTAACGTCTAAAGTTAAGGAACTGCAAATGAACCTACATTGCAAACAAATAGATAAATTCACCAAGCTCTTGGGCTGCCTGTGAACAGTCACATTTGAAATGAGACAGAGTCGGAGAATTGGGGAACCAGGGTTGGAGTCTTTATCTGATTTGCTCTTTCTTTTAAGTCTCACTGCCCACAAAGTTGAGGGATTGTCAACTTGGCTCGACTGTAATAATTTTGATGTTGTTTTGATAACCACCATTGTATTACAAAAATCCTCTTTAACCTAAAGGCATGTTACTTCAAATATTCTCTGAGCAACGGGTCACTTGCTGTTAATTACCATGTATGACAACCAAGATTGTCATTAAAGACTGCATGACAAACTAAGTGTATTTGTAATCTTAACTCGTCAAACAAAAAAGGTGCGTAATCCTTCACAATTCAGACAAGACATATGGGTTTATATGCAGTTGGACCTTCCAGTCCCTTACAGCAGAAGTGCTGTATACAGTGAAACTGTGAGCGAGAGCATGGACCCACTAAACAGCCCAGCCCACCTCCTCTCCATTTAAATGAACACAAGGTAAACTGGGTGGAGCTCATTACAGCTTCATTTTCTTTCTTGTGCAATTTCCCAATCTTGCAGCAACACAAGGACAGTGAAGGTCATTCAATCCCCTACGTCTGCTCCAGTCTCCAATTCAATAATAGTTGACTTCAAATCCATTCACCCTCCATCACTTACCCGGAAGCAACGGATCTTAGTTTGGAATGTAACAATTGATTCCAACATCTACTGCCTTTTTCTGAGAGACAGAGAGAGAGGGCTCAAAGTTTCTCCTAGACTTTGAGAGATGAACTGTTTCCCGATTTCAGTCTGGCAAAATCTGAAATGCTTTGTTCTAAATTTCTTGGGTACATAGAATGGTTTCTCTGTATCGCTACCAGACCCTTTACCATTTTAGCTCAATCCTCACAATTCTAACCTCAGGGGAATACCCAGCTAGTTTGAGAGACCCGGCCGTATAAATTAACCCTTTAAGACCTGATGCCCTTTCACTCAATCTGCACTGCATTTTTTTGCCGAGTTCCACTGCCCTAAACATTGGACCAGGTAATCCACCCACTCCCTTCAAGAAACGATGCCACTCAATGGGCAGCATACCTGTGGGGCACCACAGTGTCTGCAAGGGGCAGCCACCCGTCCAGTCAGAGTGATGAGATGAACTGGCTCGCCTGAGTGTTTGACTGGGTGGCCCTTCCGTAAGCAGTCACTGCTTTCCCAGGAGATGACATGCGACAAGATCTTCACACGTTCACAGCCATGTTTGGAGCAGTAACTATGGCCTTTCCGGACATGTTTTGCTTGAAGGATAAGGAAAAGAATCCTGAGAGGAACAAAGCAAATTGTAAAGAGCAGTGGAGAGAATCATTATTGTCGAGCATTCCACTAACTAACTTTAGGTTGTTAAACACAACAAGAGTTTGTCAGAGGTCACAAGTAATTTCATTCCATACGTGTTTCCAACAGTAAGAGAGGAGCAGCAAAGCCTCTTACTGGGAACATCCCAATGGATGCTTGAAAGGCATCAGACCTAAAATGGGTTAGAGTTGATTTTCAGATATTGCTGCTGCCTTCTGGGAATACATACTTAATCCCTTCTATGTTTAAAACAGTATTAAACAGCTGCCTCTTACAGAGGTTTGTTTATTACCCAGCCCCACTGTCAGAGATCCAAGCCTTTGGTTGGGCTAATTTCTCTCTCTGTGTGTGTGTGTGTGTGTGCGCGCGCGCACACACCCCTTCAGAACCACAGAATTGTTGCAGCAAAGATTGAAGCCATTTGGCCCATTGTGTCTGCACTGGTTCTATTGCCAATCTCCTGCCTTTTTGTCATATCCTTACACATCATTTCTATCTAAATAGTCATCGTTGCTGCATGAATAAATCACTCCGTGAAAATCTGTCACAACGTGATCGTCCTCTTCCCCTCAGGTGCTGAATGATCCTTGATTGGCTGCTGCTGTACATAATTGGAGACTTTCCATTGGTTCTGGCTCATCAGTGAGAGCTAACCCAGTGTCCCACACTTCCAATGTGAAGCTTAAGGCCTCTTTTCCATCAATGCCCCCACTTGCAAAGAACATATTTTCAAATTTCATCTGTACTCCCATATCCTAGATCTCGAATACTCAATCTCCCTGAACTCGGGCCTCCTGGCTGAATGGATCCAAAGTGAGACTGTCCATGCAATGCCGGCCACATGTAGTGCATTCATAAATCATAGATGCTACTAGACCTTACACCCTACATTCTGTGTGGCCCATTCTTACATCCCATTTAGCTCTTCTCTTTCTGCTTTAAGGGACAAGTTGTCCTAAGTCCCAGCTCCACCAACTTGATTCCAGACACCAACCCCTTCAAATCAACTCCAGTTTGCATCTTCATGCTCCTGACTCTATCACTTCACTTTCTGAGGACAATAGAAAACCAAAACAGAGAGGTGTGGGGTTACTCATTTTGACTGAAGGGATAAATTGAATTATTGCGGAGTTCTAAAGAGCACACAGAGGCAGGGGAGCAAGGGGATGGCAGTAGGAAGCATTGATGTGCAATCTTTGAGTGTGGCAGGACATATTGAGACAGTAATTGGCAAAGTATATAGGACCCCAGGCTTCATAATTGGAATTATTGAGTCTAAAGCTGGGAAGGTTATGTTGGACCTAGATAAAGCTCTGGGGTTGGCAGCACTTGGGTCTCGTGTCCAGTTCTGGCCACCATGTTTTAGGAAGGGTGCAAGGGTCTTTGACCGGATCAGACTAGGGTTTCCAAGAATGACTCCAAGGGTGAGGCATTTTAGCTACAAAGATTGGAGAAGCTGTGTTTGTTGTTCCTGGGTCAAATGAGCTTGAGAGAGCAGATTTGATAGTGGAGACAAATAATGATTTCAAAAAGGAAAATGGATGGACACTTGAGGAAATAAACAAACAAGCTTATGGGGATAGAGCAAAGGATCTTCTGGATTGCTCTACAGAGAGTTAGCATGAATATGATTGGCTGAATAGCCTTCCTCTGTATCCTAATGACTATGACTTAATGACAACGACTCTTCCCAGTCTTCTGAGGCCTTGATTTTCTCTTGCTCGATCCTTCCACTCAGGCTGCTCAAACCTACTATACTTTAACTATGATTTCCCTGTACAAATAAGATGTAGACTTACCCTGCACTGCTGTCAAAGTAATACAGACTCTTGTCTGGATTTTTCTGCATGATATTGAAGGACGATGCTGCTTTATACCGTTTCACACTGTGTACTCTTCCACTCGATCGATCGTATATATCAGACATGATTTTAAAAACTGTTCTCTTCGGATAACACAGGCCAACTTGGATCCAGTTCCCTCTACAACAATATTAACAATAACTGATTCAGAGATAGTAGGAACTGCCGATGTTGGAGAATCTGAGATAACAACGTGTAGAGCTGGATGAACACAGCAGGCCAAGCAGCATCAGAGGAGTAGGAAAGCTGACGTTTCGGGTCTGGATCCTTCTTCAGAGGAAGGATCCAGACCTGAAACATCAGCTTTCCTGCTCCTCTGATGCTGCTGGGCCTGCTGTGTTCATCCAGCTCTACACATTGTTATGTAATATTAACAATAATGTCTTGTTCGCATTGAGACACTAACGTTTTGATTTAATATTAGCAAAAACACTCAGAACCAACAAAAGCGAAATTTCTGTGAAATAAAAAGTTGCAGGCCGAGTGTTAACTGCTCCTATGACACTGCTGGGTGCGATGTCATCGAGTATTACTGATTTTTAATTTATTCTGTCATCAGTTGTGGACATTGTAGTATCTGCTGGTCACTAACCACTGTCACTGGTCTTTCTACTCTCTTTAAATAAATAGAAATGATTTAGGTGGGGCACAATAACAAAAAAATAAATTCACTCGGTCAAATCAAATTTACCAAAAATTGAAATCCATGCATCATTACTAGGGTTGGCTATGCACTCTACCATAATTACATCGGACAGGTTTGTCACTTCAGCCTCCACCGGGCCCTTGTGCAAGAATAAATATTTCTCCATCCAAAAGACTGTGTGATGTCATTAGATAGGAGAGGCTGGATAGGCTGGGACCTTTTTCCCTGGAACTTTTTTCTCTGGAATGTAGGAAACTGAAGGGTGACCTTATAGAGGTTTATAAAATCATGAGGGGCATAGATAAGGTGAATAGCCAATACCTTTCCCCACCAGAGTACTGGAGTCCAAAACTAGAGGGGCATATATTTAAGGTGAGAGGGGAAAGATTTAGTAGGGAACTGAGGGGTAACCTAATCATGCAGAGGGTGGTGCGTGTATGGAATGAGGAAATGGTAGAACGAGTACAGAATCCATGCCAAACACTGCAGTGCAGTATGGAGGAAGCACTGCTGCACAGTTGGAGGTACCATCTTTCACACAATCTATTTAACATCTGACCTCACTGGTGGATGGAAAAGATTCCAGAGCACTATTTCAAAAAAACAACTGAGGAATTCTCCACCATTTTCTGGTCAATTACTTATCCCTCAACCAACATCACAAACAGATTGTCTGGTCATTGCCTTGTTGCTATTTAAGGGATTTTGCTATGCACCAACTGGTTACAGTATTTTCTGCATTATAAAAATGACAACATTTCAAAAGAACTTAATTTACGAGTGAAGCATTTTAGACTTCCTTGAGGTCATCATAGGAGCAACATAAATGTAGGGGACTTTTAAAGTTGTGAATGTAACCTGAGTCATGCAACAGGTAATAATTTTCTCTCAAGCAAATGGTATTTGTTTATCTGAGGTGGCATGGATTGGATATGACAGCCATGACTTTTCCAGAAATGTACATTCAGAGAAAAGAAGGAATGAGTGATACACTGGTCCCTACATTGCTTAGCTCTCACAAGATCCCCAAACTGGTTCTATATTGGGATATAGAAGTAGGCCATTCAGCCCTGCTTCACCATTCAATACTATCATGGCTGATTTGGCTGTTTTCTCAGACCCAATTTTTCATGTGTGCACCCCATAACCCTTGGTTCTTCTAACCTATCATCATTTTACCCCTTCAATCAAACAGAATTGTACATTTTTTAGGAGGCAGAAGAATTGCAGCATTCCTTCTCATCCTTACAGTGAGGCATTGTGAACCATTTCCCCTCACCATCTTGGATCTCTAGCAGGATCCCACTGTGATCTTGAAGAGGTTACTAGGAAGTTGAGAGGTCCATTCACCATCCCAGGACAGAGATTACATTGATCCAGTACACTCACACAATCTATTACAACAGCTGTCACTCTCACCTGAGCCATATAAAAAGATGCATTAAACAAGGCAGCCATCCATGCCATTGCTGCAGAATGGCAATACTGTTTTACTGTACACACTGCAACATACAGGACATACATGCCTGAACAATGACCATCAGTGTCAGAGTTAATCTGAGTGCTCTTGACTGAGCACACATTCAGATCCTTCAATCCTGACACATGGCTTTGCCAGTGAGGAGTGTGGGATGGGGAAAGTGAATCTGAGGTGACAATCTGACATGATCATTTAAGCAGGCACCACATTGGTTCATCTAAAGATGATGTCTGTTCTACTTACATCCAGGTGGATATCTACCTTCCTGTGAAACAAGCTTATGACTATAGGATATGGCAGGATATACGATGCATCATGAATTCTGAGCACTGCTTTTGGCTCAATGGAAGGATTGACCGCGCAACAGTAAATGGTGTAGGAGGAACCATGTATACCATCAACAAAACTGCCTGATGTTGCTGCAAGGAGATTAGGGTTTTGAAAGTCTGAAAGAATTAAAGATACTTGTCTGGAAGTAGACCAAGCGTAAACAATTGCAAACTGAGAACTGGTTCATCAGGCTAACGAGTAAGACAAACCAAAGAGGGATTCCAAATGTGTAACTTGTTATCTTGACATTTACTTTCACTGTCACCCCCACCTCAGCCTACATAGCCATGCACGTTATCAAAGTTTTATTCTTTTGTCCAAACTACAACTTCTTTAATTAGTTCATAATACCAGCCTTGGCAGACCTCGGTTAATTTCATAGATTTCTTTTGAAAGGTTCCTTTTCCTCAAACAAAATGTTTCAAGGCCTAGGTGAACGTTGTGGGGCTAAATGACCTCCTTCGATGCCATTCCAATTTGATTGTGGTCAGTAAAGTTGTTACTTTCAGCATCCGCAGTACAGACTGTTTTATTTTGGATTTAGTTGCAAGTAAGATCAGGCCAGACCGCGAGGTGGTTCTTTAAACAGTATTTGTTGACACTATGCACATGATCTAAACAGAGGGCATCACTGCCTGGACCTGCTGTAGTTACAACCACTCGCACAGTTTCTAACACATGACTCCAGAAGTCACAGTCAGTTCACAGCATATCTCCAAGGCTTATCTGCATATTTAGTAATTCCTATCCCTACATGGGCCATTAGCCTAGAGATAGTGGGAGCTTGTGATGAGATTGTATACAAAGATGAAAGGGCCCAATCATCATGCATATCAGGACATATACATAGCATCAATATGATTGGGTACTTTGGGTTGGGGCGTGAATATGGGAGAAAGAAATGACTGAACAACTTCTGCTGCATGTGGCTATTTTTGGGATACAGCCAGAGGGCCTGGGAGCTCTCAGTGTGAGAGATTCAACACTGAGCATCTAGAGGGTGAACCAACAAGTCTGAAGGGAAAGTGGAATGAAGTCACAACTTCTGCCCAAGGAACACTGCAATTGGATACTCAAATGTATCTTGGAAACTGGCTCTCAAATACCATGCTGTCATGTTTTACTCATGTCAAATGGAACTACGGTCCAGTGACAGCTACGGACAATTGCAAGGAGTCCTAAAGGACCGCTAGAGGATATCTATGCCCAGAATTAGAGCAAACATAGGATAAACTGCACAATATGAAGAATTGAATAGGTTTTGGTTAAATACTAGGAACAGCAGGCCATTCAGCCCATAAAGTGTGCCTCACCATTCAATTAGATCACAGCTGACCATCTACCTCAATATTACTTTCCTGCATTTATCCCTCAAAGTCATTAGTCTCAGGAAACCTACACATTTTTGTCTTGCTCAATGTTTGAATTTCCACAGCCCACTGGGGTACAGTATTCCAAAGATTTTCCAACGTCTGAGTAAAGAAATTCCACCTCATTTCACTCCCAAATGGTCTATCCCTTATCTTGAGGGAATGTCCCCTGGTTGTAGAGTCACCAGCTAAATGGAAACATCTTACCCAAACCCATCCTGTCATATCCTGGAAGAACTTTGTAAGTTTCAAAGAGGTCACCACTTATTCTATGAAACTCTGGACACGACAGGTCCAGTTTCCTCAATCTCGCCTCATAAAACCATTTCATCATCCCAGGGATGAATCTGGTGAAGCTTTGTCACACTCACTTATGGCAAGTATATTCCTCCTTAGAGAAGGGGATCAAAACTGTACACAATATTCCAAGCAAGCACTCAGGACACCTATTAGTTACAGCAAGACATCCTCACTGTGTACTCGAAGTCTCTTGCGATGATAGTCAACATAGTATTTGCCATCCTCACTCCACATTGCATCTGCATGCTAACTTTCAGTCATTCATAAACAAGGACTCTAAGGCTCCTATGAACATCTGTACTCCCCAACCTCTCACCATTTAAGAAATATGCCACTGAAACCACTCAGGACTTCTTTTCTTCTGCCCTGGCTGTTCTGGAGATGCTAAACTGTACTGCTGTTAGTGCAAGCCTTATTTCTGAAAAAAAAGCCTCGAAACACTCGGAAGACCAATCTTGCATTGCTACTGCGCGGATCATTCTGAATCATCATTAGCTCTCTTACTGATATCAACTTTTGTAAATTAGCAGATCTTTTAAAAATTGAATTCTAATTCTCCATAAAGAAACATGACTTCATTTTTTTTGGTTTTTCAGTCAAGGCCTCTGAATGACTCATCCCGTGACATAACCATTATCTGTGGGTATGGAAGCGTAAGATGGTTTCAAATTAGTTTTCATAGATTCTGAATGTTTATCTCTGAAATTTTTTTAAAAACATGCTGCTTCTAATTTGAAATTTGCAGCAACATTTTGGCTGACAAAATTACCAACCTGCTGAAGCAGTGTCTGTTTTTATCATTTCTTTTCTGTCATCTGAGCTGTGTCAAGTGAAGACTGAAGAATTATTGTGTTATCTGGACAGATTTACACATAAAATTGACACACTAATCCCATGGCTGATGAATATGCAATGCGTGTGCCTTTATAAGTGAATAAAGGTCAGTTAGCTGGTTATGCATTCTGCATTTTGATTATTTATAAGTAAACAACAT